CCATTTTACCCCTAAAGTTACTTCTTGTTTCTTAAGTCCCACTGATCCTCTAATGAACAATTGGTTTGTGGTTCAACCACAAACCCGAATCCCTCTCGGGTCAATGAGAGGGTGGGGCCCCTTGTTCAAGACTTGGAGTCATTTCTTAAGGGAACAACCTCTCTACTATATCTAAAAGTGGGTAGGAGAGAGTTCCATCTTACACCCTATGTCCCCAATTATTCAACCAGTCTTACCCCTGGAATGGGACGCTTATTGAGTCGACGAAATCGGGCCACTCTCACCCATGCAAATCTAAGGATAATTCTGAATAAACAGGAGTTCATAGTTAGCTCACGATTAAGATCGAGTTACCTAGGTCATCGAGTGAAAAAATCAGTCTCAACAGTAAACAACATTATAATGATGATACATTATAACATGATGATATAAGTTGCTTGATTATGAGATGACTTAATATGATGATATTCCATATTAAGTTGATGTAGATGTATTAGATGCCACGATGTATTATGACGACAGGTTTTCTAAGACACGATGTATGATGATGAACGTATGAAGGCCAATGCATGCATGTTACCTATGGTAATGTGTGAATGATGTATCGGGCTGTGTCATAAAATAATTTAAAGATGAAATCTATAGGGATCTCATGCATATTTTAGTCATATACATCGGGTTACTTTCTCATTTATGATGATGAGTATGGACGCGTACACTACGATGATGATCATCATGATCATGCCTCGTATGATACTCGAGGGTCTGCTAACGTCCAAATAATCAGTTACGGACAACTAGCCCGACTATGATGGGTCTATGGGTATGAACTGCTTGGAGACTCACGTTCGCACGTGTGGGTCATGTGTAGGAAAGTACTACACATCTAATCATGGGTTACATGTGTTAGCATTACCAGACTCCAATAGTGGGGTCACTTACTGAGTATTTCTTAAAATACTAAAACCGTGTGCTACATTTATTTTAGGTAAAGGCAAGACACCTCTATACGGTTGATGACGACATTGCAAGTACAGACTGTGACACATGCATAGGATAGTGGTCATTGGATAAGGTTAAGTAGGTAAACCAAGAGATGATATAAAATGACCATAATACCCCTAAGGTAATTTACCTTTGGTTCATGAACTAGATAACCTCCAAATATTATGAAACTCTGTCCATTGAAAAGCATGAAACCTTGGACAAAGGTTGTCAGGTTCATGACTAGTACTGTAAATCTTAGGGGGAGTGTCTTGGAGAACGAACCTGAGGAGAACAAGAACCTAGAAAGTACCAAGAACAAGACAAAGATCAATGGCTACAACATGGATCAAGATCTAAGTTCCCAGACCAAGAACCAAGAACTAAGAACCATAGTACTAAGAAGGACTTAGATTATAAATAAAGTTTAAGGATCCAAGGACCAAGGTTCTCTGGATAGATCATGATATGAACCCACGAGTCAAGGATAAGAACTAAAGAGCCTAAGTACTTCCAAGAAGAACAAGAAAAAGAAAAGAAAAGAAAGAGTGTGATACTCTAGCATATCAAGGACACGATTAAGAGCCTACAAGTAGGCTACTTACGGAGTTTTTGTACTCACTCCTTATTTTTCATATTTTTCAGGTAATAAGGAGCTTTTCAAGGTCGGGAATGGACTCTAGAGTAGGTGTCGTAGACAAGTTTCACCTGTCGTCCTCAACCTTTTTATTTTAAAATATTTTGTGTCCATTCCGTATTTCGTGTCTTGATGGTTGGATTGTGTTTTAAAAACTTATGTATGAACTTTATTTTGATATAATAGATATTATATTTTAAATTTTCTTGTTTTAGTTCGCTAAAATTTTTTCCGTCTTTTATGAAGTCATCGAGTCAGCCTGGTCCTTATAACTTATCTTTCCAAGAAATATATATATATAACTATATCATGTTTTATTTTTATTATCATCTATATACATTTTAGCTCAACAAGTACAAAAGAATTGACCTCCAATCTCAAAATAGAAAAGTAATAAGGGTTTTCTTGTGTCTAGATCAACAATTGTGTTGAAATCAACCCAATGAAACTTGACATCCTTGGAAGTTGTGTTTAAATCAACCCAATGAAACTCATCATCATTTCCAAGGGTACTCTAATAGATATGATTCTTTAGAACCAAGACGTAAGGAAATGTCATTGTCCTCTGCTGCCCATGTACAAATACTATTATAACATTGATCACTAAACCAATTTTCCATTTCTAGCCAAAATACTTCACCAGAAGCATGTTCGTGTTTGCTGCTAAAATTGCACCAAAACCGTGTTGATTGCCTAAAATTTTCTTTGAAGGTCCAAGAGTATTTCTCTCCAAAGCCGATTTCATGTTAGCCTAGTTTTCGCTTTCATTTTCTTCTTCTTTTCTTCCTGTGAAGTAGTTTACCCTTTTGACTCTCCTTCCTGTAAAGCAGATCATTAGCTGTCCCGTAATAAAACCTGTTGAATGTATCCATTTTTATTCTAATAGAATGAAATTTGATTAGATATTAAAAATAAGATAAGTAAAAATCGTTGTCTTTATACTTGCAATGAGCCAAGAGAGCTGAATCCTTCATATGATTCCAAATTGCA